ACACTGAACCATCCTTACAATACTGCTGTTATTGTGTACAATGTTCTCCTGGTTCTGTCCATTTCACTTTGCATGAGTTCATATAAGTCTTCCTAGGATTTTCTGAAACCATTCTACATACCATTCTTAGAGTACAATATAGTATTTCATCACAATTGTATACCACAACTTGTTCAACCATTCCCCAACTGATGGGTATCACCTCAATTTCCAGTTCACTGTCACCACAAAAAGAGCTAAAAATATTTTTATAAATATCAATATAGACCCTCTTCCTTTTTCTTTGATCTCTTCAGGATATAGACCTAGTAGTGGTACTGCTAGGTCAAAGAGTATGCACAGTTTTATAACCTTTTGGGCATAGTATCAAATTTTCTCTAGAATGGCTGGACCAGTTCATAATTCCATCAACAATGTAAAAGGGATCCAAATTTTTCCATATCTCCTCCAGAATTTGTCATTTTCCTTTTCTGTCATGTTTGTCAATCTGATAGGCACGAAGTGGTACCTCAGAGTTGTTTTAATTTACATTTCTCTAATCAATAGTGAGAGCATTTTTAATATCAGTATTGATAGTGTAGAATTCTACTTCTTAAAATTTGCCTGTTTACTATCTTTTGACCATTTATCAATTGGGGAATACTCTTATTTTTATAAATTTGGTTTTTATAAATTTTATGAATTTGGTTCTGCTGTAAAAATATTTTCCCAGTTTCCTGTTTTCCTTCTAATTTTGGCTGCATAAGTTTTGTTTCTGCAAAAACTTTTTCATGTAATTAATGTAATAAAAATTATCCATTTTACTTCCTGTAACCTTCTCTATTTCTTGTTTAGTCATAAACTCTTTTCTTACCCATAGATTTGATAGACCTATTTTTCCAAGCTCCCTAAGTTACTTATGCTATCACTATATCCATTTTGAACTCATCATCTGAACAATCATTTATCTATTTGGACCTTATCCAGGCATATGGCATGAGATGTTGTTCTATGCCTACTTTCTGCTAAACTGCTTTCCAATCAACTCAGCAATTTTTGTCAAATACTGAGTTTTCATCCCAAAAGCTTCTATCTTTGCTTTTATCATATACTAGGTTACTATGGTCACGTACCGCTGTGTATCACATTTCACTGATCCACTCCACTCTATCTCTTGGCCAGTACCGGACTGTTTGCTTTTTCTTTTTAATTTGTCTAATTTTGATGATTATCATTTTGTAATATAGTTTGAAAGCTGGTGCTGCTAGCTACCTTCCTTCACATTTTTTCCCAACATTCCCTTGATATTCTTGACTTTTTGTTTTTCCAGTTGAGTCTTATAAGTATTTTTTGTAGCTCTATAGAATAATTCTTTGGTAGTTTCATTGGTATGACACTGAATAATTAACTTAGGGTAGAACTGTCATCTTATTATATTGGCTCAGCGTACCCATGAGCACTAATGTTTCTCCAATTGTTTAGATTTGTCTTTATGTATGAAAAGTACTTGGTTCACAGTCAATCAGGGGAGGGTTTATGAAAAGAAATGGATAACAACCTCTCAAGAGGCGTGGAAAAAGTGCCCATACTTTTGCCTGGGGCAATCGCCCATTTCCAATTAATTAACTGCCTTTCATTGTCTGCACCCTAGACCTCCACTCCTAGAACCTACATAGACCTCAGTCTCACTTGGTCACATGGTCCAGGTCCCTGGCATTGTTACCTAACAGTCACCCCAGCTTACTGGCCACTCCCATCCAGATCCTCCCTAGACTTCTCCTCACAGTCACCTCAGACTATGTGGAAAGCTATGGCAAATCTGAAAAGCAGAGTAAAAAACAAAGATATCACCTCTCCAACAATGGTCCATACAGTCAAACCATGGTTTTTCCAGTACTAATGTATGACTGTGAGAGTTGGACTATAAGGAAAGCTGAGTGCCACAGAAACAATGCTTTCAAACTGTGGTTCTGGAGAAAACTTCTGAGAGTCTCTTGGTCCGCTTCCAGGAGCCAAGATGGCAGAATAAAAAGTAAGTTGCTCTCACCCTCCTTCACTGACCTCTGAAAGCCCAGAAAATATTGACCCAGAACTGTCTCTTGGACAGCAAGGAGATCAAATCAGTCAATACCTAAAGAAATTAATTCAGACTATTCACTGGAAGGACAAATAAAACAGCTGAAGCTCAAATATTTTGGCCATATAATGAGAAGACAGGACTCACTGGAAAAGACCCTGATGTTGGGAAAGATTGGAGGTAAAAGGAGAAGGGCACAGCAGAGGACGAACTGGATAGACAGTACACAGAAGCAACAATCATGAGCTTGGACACACTTCAGGAGATAGTGGAAGATAGGGGCCTGGCATGCTATGGTCCATGGGGCCACAAAGAGTCAGACACAATTAAACAACTGACCAAAATCAGAGGTGGACTGGTTCTGTTGTACGAAGTAAAACAGTACAAATCTAACGATGTTTTAATAGTCAGTAATAAACAATGATGTCAACACATTTGGACTCAAAATACTCAGTATCTGAGGAAACAGAAGTTGGGAAAACATTAAACATATGTATCAATGGTATCTTTTGAGGGAAAAGGCAGGCTTTTCCTTACAATTTACTACTGAAAACAATATCTTTATAGTCACATAACTACTAAGTCAGGAATTTCCAAACTTTTTAGATCTCATAATCCTATTAGTAAAAAATGTCTGATCACATACCCTTAACGTGTATATTTATGTATAAATTTTGTATACTATATATGTATATATACATATGTACTATTGCACGAATAATTACGTATACTGTAAAACTTAGCAAAAACATAAATTTTAGAATTTATGATAAAAATGAAATAAATGATTCTAGAGTAAACAAAGAGCCACTGGAGTATACAAAGACCTCTGATGTTCACCTATTCCACCTAACTCTCACCTGTGGCTCCAAGAAGTTGTAGCATGTGCAGCAACCACATCAACCAGGTCAAGGGTAACTGAGGGGTCTCAAACCTGTTGGTGAGTTAGAATGGTGTATAACCCAAGCATGTGAAGACTTCCTCTGGTGGAATGGGTAGATGAGAACAATTTGTTCCAATGGCCATGAAGACAGCTGAAGCAGGTACTGTGGAGCCCTTAGAGCTTAGTTAGACATTGAAGAAACCAAGGTCATCCACTGCATCTTGAGCCATCACCAGTCATCTTGATTCTGTCTTGCCATCGGACTGGGATGACTCTGGAGGAGACAGTGAGGCTAATGACTTCATGCAACTCTGCCTCACTTAAATCCAATTTACATACAAATCAAAAGATATCACCCATACCATTTTATCTAACTCAAAGTACTGTGGTGACAGGTAAGTGATGAAGGAGAATGTGCAGATACACTGGAAGCTGTAGTTACAATCCTGTACATAGGCAGCCTAGGCCACAAGGTCGTTTTCTCACTGAAAGCAGCAGTAGGATTTGGCATCCCTCTGGGTGTCTTGAGCAGCCTTTTAAAAGAATCCTATTGCTCACCTCCTGGTGTTAGGAAGGGGCTAGAAAAGATGCCCTAAGAACTGTCTACTTATCCAACCTTGGCCTGATTAGTGTGGCAGATGACCTTGATGCCATGCTCACCCCTCACTGAAAGCATTTTACAACATGGCTGAAAACATCATGCTAAAAAGCATGAGAGCAAGCACACAGCTTTGTTTCACTCCATTGGTGACTGGGAAAGCACAAGAGCCTGGTCCATTATCTAGAACCCAGGCAAGCATGCCTTCATGAAGTACTGGTCATATAGAAAAATCAATTAAACACAACAGGTATCTATTAAGTGCCTACTGAATTAAGAATTGAGGATACAAGGAAAGGAAAAAAATCTAACCTAAAAACAATTCCTGCTCTCAAAGAGCTCACAGTCTAATGGTAGAGACAACATGTAAACAACAATGTGCAAATATGATATGAATAGGAGATAATCTTAGAGTGAAGGCACTAGCACTAAAGAGACTCAGGAAAGGTTTCTTGCAAAACGCTGTTTGGGGAGTATCATTATTTTTATGCTTAAGTTTCCTAGTATGAGGGCAGGTGTTGGAGTGAAGAAAAAGAGTCAGGTACCCAACTCTTTGAGGAAAAAAAACTAAATAATGCCCTGGTTGTTAAATAATAGCTACCTCAAAAGGAGATGTTTCTGAGTGATAGTAGTAGAGAGAGAGCCTGGAAGCAGCAGTGGGAGCAGGAAGCATTCTGGCCCCCTTTATCTTGATCAGTTAGTCAGTTGTATGACTGAAGAGATAACCAGTGTTGATGGTCAGGGAAGCTATGTCATCAGGAGGGAGCTTAGTCTCAGTGAAGGCAAGAAGACTGAAGGAGTAATAAAAGGTTTAAGATGAAACCCAGAGACAAAAACGTATCCAGAAGGAGAATGGTCAATACTGCTGAGAGAAAGAAAAGGAGACAAACTGAAAAATGACTATCAAATTTGGCAATTAAGAGATCGCTAGTAACTTTGGAGGGTTCAGTTTCAGTTGAGTGATAAGGTCAGAAGACAGACTACTAAGGGTTGTGGAGCAAGGGAGAATGTGAAGACAGTGAGTGTAAATGACTTTTTCAGGAGTCTAGATGAAAAAAAGGTGAGTGATGACAGTTTGACAGGATGGGGGATACAACAGTATGTTTGAAAGTAGAGAAAAAACCAAGAGACAGGAAAAGGCTGCAAATTAGAGAAAAGCAGAGGATAATTAAAGTAAAAATATGGAGAAATTAGGAGGAGATGGGACCCAGGGCATATACAAAAGATTAACTTTGACAAGGAAGGAACCGTTATGTTTAGAGACTGGGGAAAGGAGGAGACAGTGGGAGATGATGTCAAAGTTTTGAGAGAAGAAGTCAAGGAAATAAATGTTCCATTAAAGTTCACGAAGGAGATGTGGAATCAACATTTTCTTTTCAAAAGATTCCAGCAAAATATCTGAAGAAAAATTAAGAAATTTTCAGAACGGAGGCAGAAAGGAACTCAAGACACACATTCCTCACCTTGTTTCTCTTTTTCTTTTAGTGGATCAGTATTGTAGACTCGGAATCCATTTTCCATCCCACATGAAAAGCAACCTAAAACAAGAAATCAAAGAGAAGCATGTTAACAGATTTTGTGGGATTATTAACTAATCAAATCATGCCCAAAACATAAAATAGATGTGGAATCTGAAAAATAAGAGTTTTATAAGAGTAAATTAGAGTATGAGTATACTCTTATGAGAGTAAATTACAATTCAGTTTCTCAAATATTCAGTTTATTTTCTGAAATTAGAACTTTTTTCAAAAGATGATCAACCCGCCTCTCATATAGAAAGCAAGAAAAACAAAATTTCCTGCCCATTGTAGTCATGTCCAAAAAAATATGTCTCAATCTATACTCTGAGTTTAATCAACTTGATCTAATCAATTTAATCAATCTTGATAGAGATATAGGAAATCTATTTCATCAAAATCTTCTGAAATCAAGATGATTATCAGGTGACTATCAAGGTATTGATTCCAGAATACCTGAGACTTTCAAAGCTGAATGTCTTTACACTGTTGTTATTGTATAAATTGCTCTCTTGGTTCTACTCACTTCACTACACTGTTTCACACAACTCTTCCTCCAGGTTTCTGTGAAACCAGCCCTCTCATTATTTTTTAAAGCACAATTGTATTCCATGACATTACTCTGTCAGAATTGAGGAGCTCTCTAGACACCATCTTTCAAGATATTATCAAGGAAAACTGCCCTGATATTCTAGAACCAGAAGGTAAAATAGACATTGAAAGAATCCACCAATCACCTACTGAAAGAGATCCCAAAAGGAAAATTCCCAGGAATACTATAGCCAAATTCCAGAGTTCCCAGGTCAAGGAGAAAATATTGCAAGCAGCCAGAAAGAAATAGAAATAGTTCAAGTATTGTAGAAACACAATCAGGATAACACAAGATTTAGCTTCTACATTAAGGGATCAGAGGGCTTGGAATATGATATCCCAGAGGTCAAAGGAGCTAGGATTACAAATCACCTATCCAGCAAAACTGAGTATAATCAATAATGGGAAAAAATTGACATTCAATGACATAGAGGAATTTAATGTATTCTTGAGAAGCCAGAGCTAAACTGAAAAACTGACTTTCAAGACAAGACTCAAGAGAAGCATGAAAAGGTAAACAGGAGAGAGAGAAATCATAACGGACTTATTAAAGTTGAACTGTTTACATTCCTATATGGAAAGATGATTATTTGTAACTCATGAGATCTTTCTCATTATTAGGGTAGTTGGAGGGAATATATATAGACAAAGGGCACAAGGTGAGTTGAATATGAAGGGATGATACCTAAAAAAGAAAAGGGGTGAGAGAGGAATGTACTGGGAAGAGGAATAAGGGAGAGGTAGAACAGGGTAAATTATCTCACATAAAAGAGGTAAGAAAAAGCTTTTACAGTGGAGGAGAAAAGGGTGGGAGGTGAGAATGAATGAGTGAACTTTACTCTCATTGGACTGGGCTCAAGGAGGGAATAATATACAGACTCAATTGGGTATGGAAATCTATCTTACCCTACAGGAAAGTAGGGGAAGGGGATGAGAGAGGGAGGGGTGATAGAAGGGAAGGCAGATTGGGGGAGGGGATAATCAGAAGCAAACACTCCTGAGGAGGGACAGGGACAAAGGAGACAATAGAATAAACGGAGGCCAGTATAGAATGGAGGGAAATACAGTTAGTTTCTTACAACATGACTATTATGGAAGTGTTTTGTATGACCACACATGTATAGCCTATGTCAAACTGCTTGCCTTCTCAACGAGAGTGGGTGGGGAGGGAAGAGGGGAGAGAATTTGGAATTCAAAGTTTTAGAAACAAATGTTAGAAAATGTTTTTACATGCAACTGGAAAATAAGATACACAAAGGGGTACAGAAATCTATCTTATCCTACAGGAAAATAGAAGAGGAAGGGCATGGATATGGGGGGGAGAATAGAAGGGAAGGGGAATCAGAATGCAGAATGGCATGGTGGGGGGAGGGGAGTGATGAGGAGAAATTTCGGAACTCAAAATCTTGTGGAAGTGAATGCTGAAAACCAAAAATTAAAAAAAGAATTGATGAGCTCTCCTTCAGTCCTTTGCCATTTCAAACAGAGCTACTATAAATATTTTTGTATATATATGTCACTTGTCTCTTTCTTTAATCTCTTTAGGGTATGTAGTATAGTTGATCAAAAGGCATGCAACTGTTCAACAGGTTTTTGAGCATAGTTCCAAATTCTCTTCGAGAATGGCTGGACCAGTTGACAGCTCCACCAGAAGAGGAATAATGTATTGGTTTTCCCACAGACTCTCCAACATTTGTCATTTTCTTTTTTGTCAACTTTGCCAATCTAAAGGGTTGTGAAATGGAACCTCAAAATTGTTTATATTTTCATTTCTCTAATTACTGTTGAGTTCAATTATCATCTCTATGCTCCCAGATCTATTTAATTATCTCTATCTTGAGCTCCAGTTCATGAACCGCCTCTTAGACATCTTGAACTGAATATCCCTTAGTCATTTCAAATTCAACATATTTAAAACTGAACTCCTTATCATTCCCAAAAATCATACCTTCTTCCCAACTTCCTATTAATATTGAAGGTACTACCGTCTTCCCATTCATCCATGATAACAATCTTAGGGCCAAATCCTACTCTTCACTCATATATATATACCATGTATCCAATCCACTGCCAAGGTTTCATCATTTCAATTGTCAAAACATCACTCATGTATATGGTCCCCTTCTCTCCATTCACCTAGCCAATGGTTGGTGTGGGCCCTCATCACCCCACACCAGGACTACTTCCAGGCTCTCCCACTACAATTTATCCTCTACCCAGCTGTCAGAGTGATCTTCCTAAAGTTACAGGTTTGACTATCACCCCCTCTATTCAATAAACTCCACTGGATCCTTATTACCATCAGGATCAAATACAAAACCTTTTTTGTCCTTTGAAGTTAAAGCCTTTCCAGTCTTCTTTCAGTTTACTTTCTTCAACATACTCCTCAAACACAATCTCCGTTCCTCAAATCTACACCTTTTCACTGTACAATTTTTTGCATACTGTCTCCATCTGAATGTGAGCTCCATGAGTGAAGGGACCATGTTTGCCTTTCTATGTATCTCCAATGTTTATGACAGTGCTTGACATATAGTGAGTACTTTCTAAATGCTTGCTGACTGAATAAAACAATTCTTAGGAAAGTCTAATGTCTTTTTTTCCACTATAATGTCCTCAACCCACTAGAAACTGGGCTTCCTTCTAAAACTATTCATCCTTCTGACTTCAGTATTTCTGTCTATTACATTAATCATTCACTTAATTTCCCTCCCTAAATGCTAATTTGGTCTGGGTAATTGATATAGCCTGATAATCATGGCAAGAACACCAATGGGAGCTCATGACTATACACCAAAACACTCTCTAACTCCTTGAGGTTAACCTGGAATTTTTTTTTCTTTTCCTTTTTTTTCTGGGGGGGAGGGAGGAATGTAGAATGTAGCTGTGCTTTAAGAGACCACACTGCCAGTGTGATTGAGGGAGTATTTCCTGAGTCTATATGTGCTAAAATAGAATCAAAAAACCTTATTAAAAAACCAAGAAGCATTATTTTCAATGGATAAACACCAGCAGAATCCCTAATATGTTCAGGAGTTAACTAACTATAAATCAATCAGTAAATATTTATTCAGCGCTCAATGCAGCTATACTAACCTACTTGGGGCTCCTACGTGACTCTGATGTCTTTGTACAATTTTAGTTTACTCACCTCCCCCTCTTAGAATCCCTAGCTTCCTTTAAGATAAAGTTCAACTCAATTGTCAACCTTCTGCAGGAAACCCCTCTCAGATCCCACAGCTGCTAGTAGCTACCCCTCTAAGATGACTTTCCATCTACTCTATATTTCATGCATATGTCCCCCATCAAAATGTAAGCTCCTTGAGAGCAAAAATTGTTTTTGCTTTTTCTTTGAATTCCCTCCCAGTGCTTAGCAAGTGACTGGCATTTGGTTAAGTGAGCCAGCTAGGCAAGTGGATGGAGTACTAGTCTTGGAGTCAATAAGACTGAGTTCAAATCTTGTCTCAGACGCTCACTAGTTGTGTGATCCTGGACAAGTCACTTATCCTCTCTGTGCCTCAGTGTCCTCACCTATAAAATGGGATTAATAATGTTATGAGGATTAAATGAAATAATATATGTAAAGCATTTTGCAAACCTTAAAGCACTACTTAAATGCTAGTTATCATTACTAGTAGTAATAATAACAATAAATGCTTGCTGGTTAAGCCCTAACTTCATGCCAAGAACTTAGCCAAACCCTGCAGATACAAAAAGCAAAAAGTCTTTGCCTTAAAGAAGCCTACATTTGAATGGGTAAGACAATACGCACATCAACAGGTTCATATGAGATACACAGAAAGTAAGTGGAAAATAACTAGTAGGTGTGAGAAATGATCTCTCAGAAGTGAAGCCTCCTCAAAGGGTTATAGTTCTTGTTAATAATTCTCACAAAGGGCAGCAACTAGGAGATCACTGGTCATTTGGAGAGAGCTGTCTCAATTAAATGATAAGGTCAGAAGCCAGATAGTAAGAGGTTAAGAAGAGAGTGAGAGGAGAGAAATGGGAGGCACCTGCTGTAGATGGCCTTCTCAAGGAATTTGGTTGTACTGTTGAAACACACTCCCCTCTGACCTTGTCAATGCACCCCCCCACCCCGTTCTTTTGAAAGCATGCAGCAGAAAGAGTAGCCCTACCCCCAACCTAAACTGTTTACCCTTGCAAAACTTCCTGCCTTTTTGTTGCTGGGGAAGATTTCCATGAATAGATTGTGCCCTCTGAAGCCCAGCCAATGGGATAAGGGGCAAGGGGTTAGGGACGAGGAGCTCTAGTTAGGGATAAATAAGCCTTGTTTTCTGTAACCTACTTGTACTCCCTGGCCGGACTATTAGTTTGATAAGGGGCTACACCCCTTCTCATGAGAAAGCAATAAACTCCTTTCTGCTTTCAAGGTATCTAAATCTTTGTCTTGATTTTGAGTAGTGGTCTCT